CGTGCTGCTCCAAAACGAGAGAACCGCGACGGAACGGACTCGAGACGCAAACGTGTGAAGTATCATCACCAGGTCCGAGCAATCAAAAATTCGGAGGATGAAGGTAAATTCTACAGCTTTATCTTCGCTGTCGGTGATGGGGACGAGTTCCTATGGGTTAAGATCGGAGGAGTGCTTATCCAGATACTAATCGACTCAGGGTGCCAGAAAAATTTTATAGATGACACTACTTGGGAGAAAATGCGAATTCAGGGAGCAGAAGTTCAAAACTTGCGATCATATTCCGACCAAACTTTCAGAGCTTATGCACACAATTTGGAGCCGTTAGTTGTCGAAAATGTGTTCGAAAGCCTCGTCGAGGTCGAGGATGGAGAAAGGCACATTAGTACGGCAACAACATTCTACGTTATCAAAGGCGGGTCACAGGCACTCTTGGGTAGAAGTACGGCCAAAGAACTGGGCGTACTTGTTCTGGGACTCCCAAGCACCAATTCCCCAGACGTTTTTCGCGTACGCTCTGAGCTAAAGCATCCGTTCCCGAAAATAAAAGAAATCAAGCTAAACATTCCTATCGACGAAACTATTGCACCGATCAGTCAACACGCTCGCCGGCCACCTCTGGCGTTGTTAGATAAAATTGAGGAAAAACTGTATTCATTACTGGCTGCAGATATCATTGAACCGGTATCCGAATTTAGTGAATGGGTGTCGCCGTTGGTCACGATTGTAAAAGACAACGGTGAACTACGCTTGTGTGTCGACATGAGAAGAGCAAATTTGGCCATAAAACGCGAAACACATATGATGCTGACATTTGAGGACTTCCTTCCACGATTGAAGAAAGCGAGATTTTTCAGCCGGCTGGACATAAAAGAGGCATTTCATCAGGTGGAGCTTAACGAAAAGTGCCGCCATATTACGACATTTATTACACATCGAGGAATGTTCCGATACAAACGCCTGATGTTCGGGATTTCGTGCGCGCCCGAAATGTTCCAGAAGATTTTGGAGCAAATCCTTGCTGTTTGTGAAAACGTTGTAAATTACATAGATGACTGCCTCATCTTCGGAGAAAGACTGGAAGAGCACGAACAGGCCTTGGAAAAGGTGATGCAGACACTGCAAAGTAAAAACATCCTTTTGAATCACGGAAAATGCGTTTTTCGCGTGGAAGAGATTGAGTTTTTAGGTCATCACCTGTCCGCAAAAGGAATTCGCCCAGCCGATGACAAGTTGACAGCACTGAAGTCGTTCCGAGCACCGCAGTCTTCAGAAGAATTAAGGAGCTTCTTGGGACTGGTGACCTACGTTGGCAAGTTTCTTCCGGACCTAGCAACAGTTTGTGCACCGTTGCGTGTTCTTACACACTCAGGAGTTACGTTCACATGACAACAGGAACACGAAGAGGCTTTTCCTGAGCTGAGAAAAGTATGATTTCGGATATAAGAACACTTCACTTTTTCGATAATACTCTTCGAACTCGAGTCATAGCGGATGCGTCGCCGGTCGGCCTTGGAGCCATGCTTGTCCAGTTCATCAGCAATTACGAGGATTCTGAACCACGCGTGATATGCTATGCCAGCAAAAGTCTGAGTCCAACTGAAAGGAGGTACTGCCAGACCGAAAAAGAAGCTTTTGCTTTGGTTTGGGCAGTTCAAAGATTTTCGACCTACCTGGTGGGGAGGAAATTTGAACTCGAAACGGACCATAAGCCTCTCGAGACAATATTCTCGCCCACTTCTCGACCTTGTTCGCGCATTGAGAGGTGGGTACTACGTTTACAAGCGTTTATCTTCGTTGTGAAATACCGCAAAGGATCAGGAAATGTCACTGATCCGTTTTCGCGACTGGCAGTCGAAAGCATCTCTCGAGATTTTGATTGTGACAGCCAATTCCTGGTTTTGGCTATTATGGAATCAGCAGCAATAGATACGAGCGAGTTAGAGAAAGCTTCAATTGACGATCATGAGCTCTCCATCGTCCGTGAGTGTGTCCGAAGCGGGAAATGGGACAAAAGCGAAGGTAAGCCTTTTGCAGTTTTTCAGAACGAGATAGGGTTCGTTGGGGACTTACTGGATCTAAATTAGTCGTACCAAAGTCTCTGAGAAACAGAATGCTAGTTTTAGCGCATGAAGGTCACCCGGGAGAGACCGTGATGAAGCGTAGACTGAGGGACCGTGTCTGGTGGCCGAAGATGGACCGTGAAGTTGAGGCATACGTGACAGCTTGCGAAGGATGTAGATTAGTAGGACTACCGAGTAAACCAGAACCGATGCAACGTAGAGAGCTGCCAATTAAACCGTGGATTGACGTAGCTTTAGATTTTCTTGGACCACTTCCGTCTGGAGACTATCTTCTCGTTGTGATCGACTATTATAGTCGCTACAAGGAGATCGAGATAATGAGGCAGATTACCGCAGAGGAAACCATTTCACGACTACACAAAATCTTTACTCGGCTTGGATTTCCAGTCACGCTCACTTTAGATAATGCCAGACAATTCATCAGCTCATCATTTGAAAACTATTGCCAACGGAATGGAATTCATTTGAACTATTCCACCCCCTACTGGCCACAGGAAAATGGTTTAGTGGAGCGTCAAAACCGCTCCCTGTTGAAGCGTCTACAAATTAGCCACGCACTTGGCCGTGATTGGAAGACTGATTTGCAAGAATATTTGTTAATGTATTATACATCACCACACTCCGTAACAGGAAAAACTCCAACTGAACTTTGTTTTGGCCGGACAATCAGATCTAAAATTCCATCACTTACCGACGTTGAGGTTATGCCATCAAGAGATGAAGTAGCAGAGAGAGACTTCTCATTGAAAATGAGGGGTAAGGAGAGGGAAGATGAAAAGCGTCATGCTAGACGTTCAGAGTTGAAGATTGGGGACACCGTCCTGGTCAAGAATCTGTTGCCAGGGAACAAACTTACTAATACCAACAATCAATACGAAACTAACGATTTTAAATTGGCTCACTACTTGACTAGCCTATTGGTCCCAAGCAAACGATTAACGTACCCCATTCTAGTCGAAATTTTAGTACTACGAAATGTTTGTTTTGATTCGCTATGAAAGTTTGACAGATAAAATGAGGGGCTATTGGATTTTCCTATGTTTCGAGGGGTGATTCGACTAGCTTGGGACCGAAGAGAGTACCAGAGGTGAGCCAAAAAGTTGAGCACGTTTCTTAGGGACCTACTTGTCTTAGAGTTACCTCTATGCTAATACGTTCAATCCTAATGAATGTGTAGTAGTTGACAAGAAGGACTCTCGTGTGACAATCAAAAGCAAGGAATCCGAGAAGGTTTACCGCCGGAATGTAGCACACTTGAAGTGAATTACCGATCGTCACGAGGTTGCAGATAGCTGTGAGGATACTGCAACTTCGTCTGAACGCCAGGAGCAGGATGACCCGGAACCGTCCCCATCGACGCTGCATACCGATAAGAGTGTACTGACTAACTTTGAACTTTCTAGGGCTCGACGTCCAGTGATGTTTCCTTCGAAATTTAAGGACTATGCTTGCTACATGGGATTTTGGGTTTTAGAGAAAAAACGAGATGTGGTGCCCTCTACTCTGAGCAACAAGCATACTACATGACTATGGTCGTATAAGCCAGACTACCTGTAACGAGAGAGTGACTATGGTTAAGAGAGTGTAGCAGAGGTAGCGAGCCTAAGAACAGAAGGAGAATAAACGTTTCGTATATTGTTAAGATCAATTGTTAATTATTCAAACAATTACTCACCCGGAAGTACCCTGAGGATTCCACACTTACTTTAAGTACTTAGAATGGAATTTTCTTGATGTTCACGTAACTTTCCTAATGTTTCCGAATTTTTCCTAAAGTTTTCGTAAATTTCTTTGGTTTCTCGGATCTCCTTCTAAGATCCAGCAATTTTCTTGAAATAAATTGATCGGCTCTTAGCTTCAATGATCTGTTCTCGGAGCTCCCTAGATGTTCTCTCAAGTAACAAGAAGGAACAAGAATGCCTGTAAACGTTCATGAAATTCTTTGGACTTCTGTGAAATTTCCGAAATATTTGTTAAGATCACTCGGGGTTCTCTGGACATTCCATTAATTCCGAAACTTTTTAAAAATAATCGAAATGTTCTATAAGTTAATGGACCTGTCTTGAATTTATCGGAACCTATTCTTACAGATCTGAATTTTTCTGAAACTTTTCTAAATTCCCTGAAATCATTTAACTACTCTTAAGTTCTCAAAAAAAATCCTTAATAATTCTAGAGTTAACTTCTCCGAAGTACCTGAAACTTCTTTAAAGTTTCAACAAATTTTCTCAAGTAAATACTCTCTACTTCTCTTGACTTGCCGAATAATGCCGAAGTAGATGTCAATTGATAGCGGATAGCGTTGTTATGTCAAAATTGTCGTTTATCCATAAGGGACTGACATGGGATTCTAGACAACATATGTGGTGCCAAATTGAATAATTGCGACTACTTAGTTCAAATTTCACATGTTTAATCACCACTTTGGACTATAGTCGCTATATTTATAGTCTGGCGGATATAATCTCGGGAACCAATTGAGCTGTCAACTAGCGGGACCAATCGAGCAAATCACGACCAACAACAGAAAAGAGCACATCAGTTATTGCGAACAAAACTTCGGAACCCCTTTTCTCGTGACTCAAGACTCGCCTACGAAAATTAATACCATCTTTGGGTTCGGGAAGGTTTCCCCAATCCGATGATGCTGGTAATTTGCGTTGGATTGGCGAGGAAAGAATAACCAACGTTTTGTTTTTAAAAGTTGATCGTAATTTTTCAATGGTTGGTCTACAATATATTGAGTTTGTTTCGCTTTTTGATAAATCGAAATTCTATCCGCCAGACTATCAATATAGCGACTATAGTTCCAACCCACTGCGCTCAGTTGGAGCTTAATTTTCTGCTTATTGCCATAGTTCTTATTTAGAAATTTTCGATGAATGTGATATCGAAAATAAAAATCCCATTCCCAAATTACCTTCATAATATGGCATAATGCATCAGTTTTCTTGTTTTATTTTATCATTTAGTTATTGATTCACACATTCAAGTCCCAGATTATCGTAACTAAATAATCAATGTGTAGGTTTTGTTTCATCTTTGTCCCATTGCATTATCTTTGCTTCCTCCAGTTTTCGTCGTTTTCATATCTTCAAATTTAATCCTTTTGCTATCCTTCTTCTGCTTCTGCTTCTCCGTCTTCTTCTTCGAGAATTGTCTCATCTTGCGCTGATTTTTGTTTTTTGTATTGATTTAAATTAAATATAATATGGCATCAAAATTTACATCTACTTTCACCCTTTCAGTACGTTTTCACTTTTTAGGAACTCGTCGGTAAGGTCTAGGCCGTTCCTCGGCACCGGACTCTGCGAGAATTGATGGCACTCATCGTTATTCTGTTGTTGCTGTTGCTGTTGCTGTTGCTGCTGCTGCTGTAGCTGCTGTTGATGGGCGTGGTGTTCCCTCATGGCCGCCCTCAGATGTTCCCCATTGGGATCCCCGAACGGAGGACAGTTTTCATTGGATCTACTTTCGTCGTTGCATCTGCTCACCAGATGATTTCCCAGAGGTCCCAGGTGGCCTCCTCCGTGACCACCGCCTCCTACACCCCCACTGGCATTGGAAGACACCACTGCTTGTGCCTGCGAAACAGCCAACCTCAATGCTGCCTCCGCTTGAGATCGCAGGATTGCTTCCGCCTGTTGAATCCGGATGGCCGTCTCCGACGACGGCCCACACGCGTTCTGACCCCCACCTAGACCGCCTCCTCCGAGGGGGGAGTCCGCCGAAGGTGGATAGTTTTGCCGATTGGACAATGGGTATTTCATTTCGTTAAAATTGATAAAATTACTCTTCTTCTTCAGCGGACCCAGGTTCGATTGGCCCAGGTGATCTCCGTGCATAGAATTGTTCTTAAACGATTGACCGATCCGCATTGCAGTTGCCAGGTTGACGACGGCGGCCTGCACTGCGGACGATGTTCCATCCGTTGGTAACATCATATCCGGATCGAATTTGGGCTCCTGCAGCATCATCATCCTCGAGAATTGGCTGTTGTTGTTATCGCCGGGAACCACCCCAAACGGATTGCCATGACCACCGGCAGCGACGGCTGCAGCGGCCAAGCGATGATTATCGAAAGGTCCACATCCGCCTCCTCCTCCTCCTCCTCCACCATCGCCATTCTTCTCCGAACCCATGGTCGAAGAATTTTCCGAATAGTTCAACGGCGAAATGCTGTTCTGAGTTAGATCCTTCACCGAGATCATCGAAGGACCGGAACTGCTTCCCATCCCGAGGGCATTCGATTCCTTCTCCCGCTGCTCGGCCACGGCCTTGCTGAACATGTACTGCGCGGCGAACTGATGCTTCGGATCCATCTTCATGTGCTCGATGTGGGTGATGAGACCTACGGCATGGGATGGAAACATTAATTTTAAAAGGGGGTTCGGTGTTTTTTGGCATCGGACACAACTCACCGGACTCGTGGGTGAACACAGCCTGACACACGGAACAGGGCCACATCTGCAGATTGGAGCGGAACGGAGCGGAACCCGCCGCTCGTGGATGCGTCAGAAGGTGTTTCCGCAGGCAGCCCTCGTTGACGTAGTGCTTGCCGCACATCGGGCACGGATGGTTCGCTACTCTTCGTTTCACTGTAGTGTAAGAAATTCTATATTTCAGTTCCTCAAGACATTTAGTGCTGTAGTCTGAGAGATGGGTGGTTCGATTCGGTAATTGGAATTTTTGGATTTGTGGGAGTAGAACGGTGGTAGCAGTTGTAGTAGTAGTAGTAGTAGTAGGTGTAACACAAAATGGGAAGGGAACGAATCTATTAGTACCAGTTCACCCAGCAGAGTTCAAGCAAAACTAAAACTTCGAAGCGATACCTACCAGCCACTTCTTTATGCGAGTATTTGATGTGTTCGTTGAGGGCATCAACGCCGAGGAATATCTTACTGCATACATTGCACGTTACGCTGTTGGAATTGCTCATCAGGGCGGCATGTTGCTGCAGCACTCCGAGGTGCAGTTGCAGTTCCTGTATCGGAAAGCAAAAGAAGTTTAGATGACATTTTTGAACGATCCGCCGGTGGTCAAGCTGAACGGGGCCAAACCTTCGAAGTGTGCGTCCGGAGACTAGACTCGGTGGCAAAGCCCTTGCCACAGAGATTGCAGTGGAAGGGACGACTCTTGGCCCGCTCGACCTGGGCATCGTGGTTGCGAAGGTGCTGCTGCAGGTTCGACAGCTGGATGAACGCTCGGCCGCACTCCGGCAGGTGACACTTGTACGGGCGCTCGCCTAGAGGTTAGTTGAAGGGGTGGGCGGGATTTGAGGTTCAGGTTTTATTTGTAATGGAAAGTGAAGTTTTTCTGTTTTAAACAAATGGAGCATTTCCACTCATTTCTGACGCGATACTCTCCGGTTTCCTTAAATGTATGCATATTATTTTCGCTATGGGCAATAATACAAATTTTAGCTGGTATTGGGTTATTTTAAATTCGCTTCATTTTTCAGAGTGGCGTGTTCAATATTTTTAAAAAAATATAACACCAAAAATGACTCCGATGAAATGACGTCTGAGAAAAAGTTGTTGGAAATAAGATGCTCTTTCCGGAAAATATACACTGTAAAAAAAAAACAATTTTTTTGTAAAAAATCTAAATAATAAAACATAACTTCATTCCATCCTCGTATATATTTATATATTGTTGAGAAAGATCATCAATTTCATTCAACTTTGTCTCAGAGGTCATTTAGATTAGTCAAAAAAACACTTTCTTGTTGTGATATAAATTTTCAACACCCAATATATGATTTTTTTTAAATGAGGCTAGCGTAAAAATGGGCAAATTCCAGCTCAAATTAGAATTGTTTGCCATAGCGAGAAATTATGCATAATTTCATGGATATCGAAGACAGTCACGTCAGACCGATTTTTCACCTGTCGTGGAAATGCTCAATAAAAGTATCACATTTTCTGAAGATGATGCCTGTATTTCGTGCAACGCTGAGTATATAAAAGTCACTGTAAAATTGATTTTCAAAGATATAGTTGTATCACAGACAAACAGATGTAACGCTTTGAAAAAGTTTTTCTTGAAAACATAGTATCTCAAAACATAGGACCTCAGTAACGACATCTCTCGGGCTTTTCGCGGAAAACAAGCTTGCTCGCTAACTTGCAAACAATATTGCTGCAAAATTTGAAATTTTCGCTCCACAGTGCTTAAACGGTTTCAAATTGGGTCCTCCTTAGCCTCCCAAAATTTGAGCTACTTTAGTAAGAAACTGACTTGGCACAAACCATTTCAAGTTTATATGGGAATTACTATAGAAAAACTTATGTTTTGTTCATATCTATCTAACAATTCACCATGCTTTTAAAAATGATAACAGTGATTGTAGCAAATTTTTTCAGCTACAAATTTGTTGAGAACCACTTTTAAATCAAATGTAAGGAACAAATGTTATTAATGATTCAAGTCACTGATGTCTTATGATTATGCTCATTCAACTGGTGCAGGCAACATTGGTGTTTCTGGTGCGAAGAATAGTGTTGCCCACAGAACAGCTGCTTGATCATGCCATAAGATTATCAATCTCTTAAACAATTAATAACAATTTAATTTGACATTTGGCTGAAAAACGATATTGCGCAAAGTTGTAGCTTAGAAAATTTCCCGTAAGAAAAGTTATAGAAATTTTCGAAAAAGCAATATGGAAAATGGATAGAAGACAATGAACAAAAAGTTTGGTTTTTCCATAGTAATTTCCATATAAACTTCGAAAAGTTTGTGCCAAGTCAGTTGCTTACCAAATGAGTTTAAATGTTGGGAGGCTAATTAGGACCTGATTTGAAACCGTTTGAGCACTGTGGAGCGAAAGTTTCAAATTTTGCATCAGTCTAAGGATCAGGCATGGCGAATCATTTACATTCATTTCGTGCATTCATTTACATTCATCAACAGAAGTCCGTAAAATGATGAATGAGACTTTTGTAGGTTTTTATACTAGCTGCAACTTTTGTGAATAACTCAAATCTATGTTTCTTATGCATGATGAACCAGGGCGAACAGAACCTACCATTGTTTTTCTGTGAATGTAAATTAAATTCACTGAAAAATAATTACATGTTCTGCCCGCTCTATTTCGTCATGCATAAGAGGTACATGTCGTGAACACCCGGTTCGCTGCTCCCAATAGACGTTCCTATCGTGACAACTATTGCCAAAAGAATGTCTGAACAATCGTCTCAACAAAATGGAATACCCGAAAATTTCCAGATTAAAGCTTTCTAAACTCTCATATCTGAAGTCTCTTACAAGCGAGCCCGCACGGTAAGAAAAAATACTCAAAATTAAGTTAAAAAAAACTTAACGTTGGGTTCTATCATTTGAGGTCCGCCGTTGAGTGAATCAGAAAAGCGGCGATGGTTAAAATTTACTCAACTATTGAGTAATAATAAATGAACTCAAATATAAGTTTATTTTCATTGAGGTTGCTTTTATGCGCCCTTAACCATTTCATTTTCACAAGCGTTGATAGACGAGTGGTCAACACACGGGCCCCGTAATCTCAACGTCCATGGTTCGGTTCCAGTCTGCTCCGTTTTATTATTTTTTTGTCAACTTGGTCAACGCCAGGATTACTCAAAATTGAGTTTTCTTCTTTAACTTAATTTTACCTAGCCCCACGGAAGCCACGTGATGAGTGAAAGGAACTCAATTTTGGGTACTTTTTTCTTACCGTGCGCAAAGTACACTCTCCCCCCGAAGAACGTGAACTCGTTCTACACGAATTCCATGTACGTTGGTCTCGAATGATTCCGTTTACGCGAGGGAATTGCGTAAATGGAGTACGCGTAGCATATGGGATTTGATCTAATAATATCTCGCGATCCTGGACATATAGAAGGTTACTGTCTTCGGCAAAGTTGTTCAAGACCTAATGGTTGGTGGACAGAAGTTCGGAGTTTTCTCACTACACAGCGCTAGTGTGCATGTATTAGTGATTTCCTTGTTTATGTCCTTGCCATCTAAGAAGTTGCTGTCTTTGGCAAAGTTGTTCAGTGGACCAAGACCTAATGGTTGGTGGACAGAAGTTAGGAATTTTCTCACTACGCGGTGCTAGTGTGCGTGAATTTGTTATTTTCTTGTTCATGTGATTTCTTGAAATCCTTACCATCTAGGAAGTTTCTGTCTTTGGCGAAGTTGTTCAGTGGACCAAGACCTTCATTTTTGGAAATGCTCTCGCAACGTGGGGCTTTAGGTAGTGATGAAAACGTCGCTAGAACTATTCCACAGCCGCAGCCAGTTTATGAGCAAAAGAGGGACGCACATTTTTTGCCTGTAGACTTGGAGACATACTTCAAGTCTCCGCGTACATCGTACAGGTTAGGCAAAAGATGTGCGTCTATCTTTAAAAACTGTCGCATTAATGGCCCTTCGCTCATTTTCAACTTCTATTCAATTTTCATACTGCCATACTCTAACGGAACTATCCACCTACCCTCTTCTAAAGATCATTCTCTAGCTAATAAATTATCACAATAAAGCTTCATGTTAGCATTTCCAACCAACTCTGAAAATCGCTAACTTCGCGTATGAAGTAACTTAAAAACACTTTGAATGTTAGAAAAGTTATTATTTCAGCAGATTTTTGAAGTAATATGCTATCGATTGGCGTATTTGGATTTTAATTTCATCTATAAATGACAAAGTTACAAGTGTTCAAAACCTAACACTATTTTACCACACTTATTTTTTGATTTGCACGCCAGTATGGTTGACAAAGACGTAGTTCTACCTTAAAAAAAACTCTTGTATCATTTCAGGTCTAAAGGCCGGCGCACAATAGATACGTTTTCAGGTTTTTTGACAGTTAGCCCATACATTATCTGTCAAAAAACCCGAAAACGTATCTATTGTGCGCCGGCCTTAAGAGATAGCGAGCAGTCATGGTGTCAAAAGTTCTAGATAGAGCTGGAATTAGGGCGTAACAGCTTTTGTAAACAATGACTTCTCTCGATGATTTCTAGGAATTCAAGGCACGCCCACGCAAACCAACATAACCATCGGAAAGCGGAAGTCTTCACCTACCCGATGGTGATGTTGATTTGCGTGAGCGAGCCTTGACCTTCTAGAAATCACCAAGAGAAGTCATTGTTTGCAAAAGCTGTTACGTCCTAATTCCAACTCTATCTAGGGTTGTGTCTTTTAGTAAATGAAAAACCTTCCTTGAACATAGTAAGCCTCGGAAAAATCAAATTTAACAGTTATAGCTGCAAAATCGATTTTAAGGGGGCTTCAATAAAAAATACTTCATATCTCAATGACAATTACAATTTAGCAAATTGGTATCTTCGGCAAAATTCATGGAATTCGAAATTTCTTCAACATTGTAGAAGATTTCAACATCGTAAACGTCAGACAAAAAATATATGTTTTTAATGTCGTTCTCGTTTTTGCGGTGTAGCTACACCGGTGCTACACTGCCGTACACCTAAATATTTTAGGGTGTAGATATAGGATGCACCTTTGTTAACAAACAAATGATGTTGAGCTGTCAAAGACTCGCGCTTATTCCTGCTTAGGCTGTGAACCATTTCAGTGCCAACATTTCAAAGGGGCGTAATTGCTTTTGTAAACAATGGCTTCAGCCGTCGATTTCTCGCAGATAAAAGCCCACCCTTCCAAATTACCAATGCTAGCTGGTACAGGAAACATTTATCTACCTGCTGGTGTCATTCATTTTTATGAGTGAGCTTTCATTCACGAGAAATCGACGACTAAAACCATTGTTTACAAATGCAATTACGCCCCTTTGAAATGTTGGCACTGATTTGCTGAGTTAAATTTAACTTGTTGTTAAAAGTGACATTTCGAAAGTTATTTTCTATGTTCGAAAATCCCTGCGCTGTCGATCGACCAGTTTTCGAGCCACGGTTGTCAAAATTTAACTTCTTGTCTGTCAGAACTAACCATGCTCGGATAGCAGGGTTGATCGATAACTTTCCATCTGTCAAATTTTAACCAAAATTTAAAAAAATCGCCAAATGGTTCAGAGCCTTACACTACACCAGTGCTACACCGCAAAAACGAAAACGACATAAGTCGTATCTTTATGGACGTCCCCGTCACCAACTTGATTAAACTTCATCTTTTTTTTCCTTGATTTGTTTTCCGTCGATCTTGTTTTCCATGCTGGGCACGAATGCTACCGACGCCAGGGAGGTATCTCACTGTCTTCTGTATCACAATTCAAGAGCCACAAGCTTTTAGTAAACAAACCTTTGTAGG